TGGGAGCGTCATCTCCGAATGGGCTTTATAGTGCGCGATCCGAGTTTAGATAGTAATTAATTTAAAATTATTTTATTTTATTATTTATATTTATATAAAGATAGGATAAATAATTTTATCCGTACTCATCTCATGTGGGCTGTGGCATGCTAAAGGATTCTAAAATTGAAAATTTTCAAACTATTATACCCCACCCTCTACGAGAGAAAAACAATGTTCCCTCCATTTTACAATTTACATTACTTATCCGCTTTTATTTTAAACAATTCTTAAGAAATTATATATAAATACGAAAAATATTTAAACTAAGTTATCATTTAATTTTTTCCAATACACTTTATATATTGCCCTATTCATCAATGTTAGAATGAACAGCGAAGAATTTTTTTGAAAATTTTATATTGTTTTTACAAAGAATTAATTTTAATAGCAAATAATGCTTTTTAATTAATTTTTTGTTAAATTTATAAATTTTAAAAAATAATTTTAACAGAATGAACAAGAAATACAAGACGGAAGAAGTGTTAAAAATGTATTTTTTTTAAAAAAAAGGTCGTTGCACGAGTATCACAAGGCATATTAGTGAGACTGAGACAAGACTTCATATAGTTTTTCTTCTTTTATATTATCTCCATCATAATTATTCTTGTCCATATTATGTCAATTATTATCAAGACAGCCATGCACGGGCAGGTTGGTTTTCCCTATGTCATCTCCAATATTATAAATTATTTAAATATTAAAAATAAATAATATTTGACAATAAAAATAAAATAAACATAAAATAATAAATTTTATTTTTATTTTTTAAAACTAAACAAATAAAATTTGGTATCTACTTTTATCATAGCGTAAATAAGTGAAGTGATGAAAATAAATAGTACTATCAAATATGAACATGAAGACTTGACTTTATAAAGATTGAAAAATCCTATTAAATAAAAACAATTAAAGATAAAGTATTAAAAAATGAGACAGGTGTGAAATTATTAGATTGTGTTGATCTATGTCATGTGTGAAAGAGATATGTGCAACAACTAAGCTATCTTATTATTATTATTATTATTATGGGTAATTGACTAAGCTATCTTTTTATTTGCATGTATCTCATTTGTTTTAGTAAAATAACTAAAAGAGAAAAGAAAGAAAAGAAAAATATTTATTGTTTCATCTTTTTGAAGAGTACTACTCGAGAGTCAAGTAGCTCCCTATATGAATTAAACTATATCTCCATGAGGAAAAAATGGTAGAACGATAATTAGAGTGACTTTTTTATGACTCAAATCACAATCTAAAGATTGAAAGTGAAGTGTAATTATCATTCGAACAATCTTTTATGATTAAATAATACTAATAACTAAAAGTTAAAATCCGCACATTGGTAATAATAGTGCAAGGTCCACATTAGGGGTCGTTTGGTAGAGTGTATAAGAATAATGCTGAATATGCATGCATTAGTAATGCATGCATTAGTAATGCTTGCATTAGTTATGCTTGCATTATTTCTTATACATTGTTTGGTTTGATGTATTGGAAATAGCAAGTCTTGTATAAAGACTATTAAAAACTATTTGTTTACAAAAAGACCTCCACATTATTATTATTATAATTAATATTATAATAATAATTATTATTATTATTATTATTATTAGGCTTAGAGGGTAGTTTTGTCATTAGTTAATCTAATGCATGCATTAAAACCATTGCATTGCTAATACCTAGAAAACCATGGTATTAGCAATACACACTTTAATACACAATAGAGTGTATAACTAATGCAAGCATTAGTTATACATAGATTGGAAAAGAGTACCAAATAAGGTACTAGTAATACACAATGCTAATGCATGCGTTATTTTTCCTAATACACTCTACCAAACGACCCCTAGTGTGAAAGGAACTTGTGAACGATATAGCATGAAAATGACTCATCATGGTATATAAGTATAGCCCCTTCCAAGCTACAATTTATGTAGTACAATAATTTATTTTACTTATTTCATTCTTTTCAAATATAAAGTTCAAATCTTCAAATCATTCACACTATTCAAATGATCAATTATTTTTTTCCCCTTGAACATATGTTATATAATAATTATTTGTCACTAATTCAGATTTATCGTGACACATTAAATTCATTTTAAAATAACAATAATTTCTAATAAAAAAAATTAAATCAGACACATAATTAAGAATAAGATAATTTCACTCGTCGCATATCTTAAATGATCCGTTGATGCAGTCCTCTTACCAGCAGGGTACTTAATAGGGACCATTTTGTCAACGGGGTACTTAATTTTGAAAACAGAAAGGACAAAAAATATCTTCGTCAATATATTTAATTGGAAATTGGATTTATTATTACCCTCTGTTAACTTATAATTGGTCCAACAATACTCCTATAATTATTTCTTGGCTCACATTTGTCCTTATGTTCTCACAACACCAAAAATAATACATATTGGTCTGTATTATTCATATATGAATTAAATATGAGGAAATTTCAATCCATTCAATCCACTCAATCCACACCCACTCGGATCTGCAAATAATAATTATAAAATCGTAATATCATCATATAAATTGGGACGAAAATAAAAATACTTTTATTCAGTACTATCATTGGGTGATCAAAATATTTGCCCACTTGCATTTACCTTTGATCTTGGATGCAGAGGTGGACGTTGCGAGGGCGTACGTTCACATAGATTTTTTTTAATAGGTATGTATAAATAATCTAAGAAGAGATGATATAGTTAATTGTGTACTTATAATCAAACTCATTTGAGCACATTAGTTGAACCCATTTATTTATTTTTTTCCTTTAAAAATAATGATATTTTAACCATCTTCAAATTCTAGATTCGTTTCTGTGATATAGTCGGATTGAGTACATCAAAGCCATTTTTTGTTAAATGGGACACGTAGGAGATAAAACAATTATTGTTGTATGTCTCTTTTTCTTTGTTCATCTTCATCATATGAATCACATGGGAGACAAAAAGTTCCATCATATTTTACGTTTTATTAATTGAGCAACTTAATTTTACTGGTGACTGGTGACTGGTGACTGATGAGATGGAACCATCAATGTAATTAATAATACATCGTCCTGCTTATGAAAGTAGGAGGAAAGAGACAAGTTCCATAAGTTCCCAATGTGATTTCCATTTTATATCCCCATTATATTCAAGTTTGTTAGAAATACTATATGAAATTAGATTGATACTTATATGTTGAAGTTTATCAGGATATGCAATTTGAATTTTTTATGTAATACACATGAAACTCTCATAAATTGTAAAAACTATCAAAATTTTCTCAATTCTTATAAAATCTTACTAGATGAACAAATTATAGTTCTTAAACAGATATCTAAATATCGATTCTAAAGCATTGCATTGATAAATTGCATATCTTCATGTTTATTTTATAAATAAATATTTGTGATTACAAACATTCAAATATACATAATTTTATAAAGACACACTAATCAATAATAATAATAGTAATTAGTTATTTTTTAATATAATCCTGTCATATAATACAACAATCTCTTCACATTGAGCATTAGTCTTTCTTTTGTAAAACTTAAAATGATGGATACTTTTTTTGTTTTTTATAAAGTATAAACTTTGGGGTTAAGTTTTACATTTATTAAAAAATTAAATCATGATTTAGAATCTCAAATCATGCTTGTTTTTAAAAAATTGAGATTTAAAATGTAAGATTATTTTTGTATATATATATATATTTATTTATTTTGGCTCCTTTTTCCTTTATAGGTTTTCTTTTACTTTCTTAGATTCTTGATCGCTTTCTTTCTCATAATAGTATTTTATTTTGTTTAGCCTAAACCCATTTTAGACTATTTACTTGTCCCAATGTAAAATGGACAATACTTGACATAAATTTTTTATATAAATAAAGCATTCGTCTAATATCGTTCTCTGAGAAAATAGTTCTGATGGGTAAATCAAAGGGTGGTTGTTGAACCCCTATATAATTCAATTAAATTATAATTACATAATAGACTTCACATTTTTTAATTTATAATTATATTATCTGGATCAATTTTAATTATTTTAATTTGGTATCTTTATTAATATTGTTGTTAGTCACAGTCCACGTGTGAAACCCCCATATTTTAATATGTTACTATTGCGATTATGACTAAGCTCTTTAAATAATCTATATGAGTGACTTAAGGTGTCATGTTCTAGACATTTCAACGAAGGGGGACTTCTTTTCTGATAATTCAAGAAAAAAATTTATTTCTATTTCATTTCAGATATTGTTAATACTATGTAAACAATTTTAAAAAAAACAATAGTAAATTTAGTGCCTTGTCGTCCAAATTTGTTGAAATTTCTTTTTGCCAATGTGTTTCTCTATACTATTTTTTTTATTGAAAAAATTGAACTCAATTTTTTTAGCTGAAAGGAAGACGACGCCCAGCCGATAATACCTAGGTCAATTGGAATTGATAGTATATATTAACAAGAAGATATAGCTATAAAAATAAGACTACATTGGTTTTAACAATTTTGAAATGTTATCCTACAAAATATAATGTTTTGGATTTCAAAAAAGCCAAATATCTAAAGTCTAGAAGGAAGAAAAAAAACAAAACAAAAGAAATAAATGTTGGACGGCAGGAACGGGCAATTGTGTAGTATAAGGACCAAGGTGTGTTTGATGATCGGTTAGAAAGTAAATTATTCATATAAAGTATGAGAATTATTTATAATTTTATGATTAAATATTTGACTATCAACTTAAAATTACGAAGGAATCGATCGATGACTCTTTAAAGTTGACACCTCTAAAAATAAAAAAGATAGGAACCATTACACGTATGAAAAGGAGAAATAATGAGGGAAAGGAGTTTGAAGGAAGTGAAATTCAACTTTGGGGACATTACAGTCCAACAAAAGATAAGGGTAATATGGGTAGTGAGATTTTAAAAAAGTTGAGGGGTAATCTCTGAGCTACATGTCCTTTCTTTATTTTCCTTTTTGCCCTTATTCTCTTTCATGAAGGTGAGAGGGAAAAATAACTGAAAGTGTTAAAGAGAAACAGAGAGCAAAACTTGCAATTTCTGGGGTGAAGAAAATGGCTACACTGAGAATCCCAGATGTTGTTCCTTCTCCAGATGAAGACTGTGAAACTCTTATGAAATCCTTCAAAGGTCTCTCTACTTTTCCCTTTCTTTCCTAGTTTTACTTTCCCCGTTTCATATGTCATATATATGCATGCTGTGTGCTTTCAAGTAGCTTCAATTTTCAACCAAGTTTTTCATTCGTAGTTCAAATTATCTTCTCAACAAGTTGTTGAAACAGTTTTTGTGTTGGAGGTGGGTTGGGTTAGCAATGGCGGAGACAGAATTTTCATCGATAGATTCATCATTTAATATAAATATAGCAAATCTGAGCTGCTAATTGCAATTTGGTTCTGTACCGATAGGAAGAAAGAGATTAACTACTGGTTGATCCATGTGCAAAAAAATAAAATTACTAGTAGCAATTCGATTGTGAAATTTAAACAGTCCCGCCTCATTGTCATCCCTATCTGAGTTTGTGTTTTTAATATGTCTTATTGTTGTTCGTTGTTATAAAGACAGAATTAGTTTTGTGGTTGTGTGTAGGACTGGGAACTAATGAGAAGTCAGTGATATCGGTGTTGGGCCAGAGAAATGCAAGCCAGAGGAAGAAGATCAGAGAAACCTATCAGCAACTTTACAACAAGTCCCTTATAGATGACATTAATTCTGAATTGTCTGGTGATTTCAGGGTACAATCCATTTTCTTACTTTTCCTAGACCTAATTATTTTGTTCTCTTCCGTAATCGACTCACAATTTGATAGCATTAGCTCATTAGAAGTTATTCCATATAGGTCTTTTCTCATATTTAACTTTGCTTTTCTTTGGATTCTCGTTTCTAGGAGTATTATTTTGAGGTTAAATCAGGAGGTTTGTGAATATTTGAATTTTGATGTATGTTTTCGTTACTCCTAAAATGGAATAGTTATTTTTTCTGGAATTAGCCTCTTTCAAAGTGTTTGGGCATAATTACAGTTTGAATGAAGATTCATTTGGCTCAAGAAAGTTCTTGACTATTGATCTTAGGCCTTAAATCTCGTGCTAGTCAAAATGACAACATTGTGACATGAGATTAACTTTTAAATAGCACGCCTTCTTACCAGAACTCGTAGTCCATTAATTGGATAATAATTGCTCTTTTCATGTTTCCCTGATAGTATTTAGTGTCAATGATTGTCCTTGCTTCTCTGTCTCCTTTAATCATTTCTAGTCAGTTAATCATAAGTAGAGGAGTAATCTATGCCTCAGATAGAGATTCTCTCAGGAATAATTTTCAGTTGATTTCTTCATATAGTTACTATTGACCAAACTCTGAGCTCAACTCAAAATTGAGTGTGTCATATTTTTAGAACCAATTGATCTTGTAGCTGGTGAATGTGGCACTTATAAACTACTATACTTTTGACTTCCTCCTCTCACTATACCTATAATGCATTCGATAACGGTAATACTAATGAAGTTCCAATAATCAACTAATTCCAAGCAAGGGGTGTATGTGTTGGGTAGGGCGGCATTATATCCTAGCTTTAAGGTAGATTAGATTCCCTTGTTTGATGAACCTCTAGTTGGGAAGGGCCAAAGGGGTTGTTGACACTCCTATTTCTTAAACACCAAGGGAAGATTCTAGCCCTGTTACTGCAAACAGTTTCTCTAAATGTTAGTGAAAAGGTGAAAAATTCTGAGATGTATAGCTTATCCCTTGCTATGTTTCTAGAATGCCAATTAGATTACTACATCTGCAGCAGAATGCAATTTCAGTCTCTATATGAGCATGGTTATTCCCAAGACTCCAAGTGCTAATTTTAGCTTTTCATGTGTGACAGAAAGCAGTCATCCTATGGACATACGAGCCTTCTGAAAGAGATGCACGGCTAGCAAATGGAGCCTTAAAGTCAAGAAAGAAAACCATCACCCAGTTGCAAGTGATAGTAGAGATAGCTTGTGCATCATCTCCTGATCATCTGGTCGCGGTGAGACAAGCATATTGTGGCCTTTTCAACCGTTCACTTGAAGAAGATATCACAGCAAATGTCCCTATGCCTATACAAAAGGTACATATGATCACTTCTAGTAGCTGAAGTATACAATATTCTTAACCAATTCCCTATGTATTAGCAGTTAAATAGTACTCTTTCTGATGTTTGCTTTGCTATGTTGAGTTGCATTATACTAACTTCTATGACATGACGTGTTGTGTGGATGTTGCCAGATTCTTATTGGTCTAGTCAGGTCCTATCGATATGATAAAGAATTGGTGGATCCTAGTACTGCAAATGAAGAAGCTGCTATCCTTCGTGAAGCCATACGGACAAAACAGTTGGATCATGACAATTTTCTTTTCATACTCAGCACAAGGAGTAGTTGTCAGCTTAGAGCAACTTTTGAGTGCTACAAGCAAAATTATGGATTCTCCATTGACCAGGTTACACTTCTCGCAAGCTGCCTATGTAGCCTTCCTTTCATAGTGCTTCTTGTTCATCTCGTCTCTTTTATGTGCAATTCATTTTTTCTAATTTAATTAATCATTTACAGGACATTAAGAGCTGTGGAAAAGGTCTATTGGAATCTATCCTGAAGGTGGTTATCTGGTGTATTGATTCGCCAGAGAAACATTTTGCTGAGGTAATTAAATACGGAACAACATTTGATATATAGCATCTGGTAATTCGTTTTTACAGATCAATGTCAGTAAAGTACCTACTTTTGAATATATTCTTGTATGCTGGAATTGGTCAGGTTGTCAGAGCCTCGATTGTCGGTTTTGGAACTGATGAGGATTCTCTAACGAGAGCCATTGTAACTCGAGCTGAAGTTGATATGATGAAAGTAAGGGGAGAATATATCATAGCGAACAAAACTAGTCTTGATAATGCAGTTATTGATGACACATCAGGTGATTACAGAAAATTCCTCATGACACTGCTTGGTGCCAAAGTGTAGACCTGACCATTATCTTGTTGTGTTTCAATACTATGCTACTACTTTGTATGATTTATTCGGAAATGCTATATGCGCATTATTGGGGTGGTTTTGCAGTGAAATGTTTAATAATTGGAGAGTGAATTTGTATATAAGTTTGTGGTTTGTCACTTGTTTTTGAGTATTTAGCAACTTTTATTTTCTTAAGAAATGGAACATTGCTGGGAATTTTTATTGCCAAAAGGAAGAAAAAAAGAAACAAGTTCAATAAGCCTACTCTCCTTGGGCAAAGAGAAAGTTATGGAAATAAGAGTGGCCCAATGGATTTCCCACCAACCCAGCAAAGAGTGGCCCTATCAAGGCCCAAAAACAAAACTCTGTTTTTTGTAAATGAAATGATCACAATAAAAAGTGCAGAATTGTAAAGTAGACATGGATTTCATCAACACTTTATTTTTTTATTCCCCCACCCCACCTCTCTATTTCTCTTCCTCCTTGGAACCTGACTGAATCCGGATTCGCGTTGGAAAGTCTCATATTAGGGTAAAACGCTCCTTAACAAAGGTAACTCCGTACAAAGGGGATTCAAACTCGAGATCTCTAGGTTAAGAATGAAAGAGTACATCACTCTACCACAACCCTCTTTGGTAATAAGTTAAGACTTAGAGCTGGTTTATATTAGCTTCTGATTTTTGAGACTTTTGGCTTATTATTAATATTTTAGCTTAAATTGAAATGCTTATACACACTTTTAAATTTACCCAAAACACTTTTAAAATATTTAAAAGTTATTTTGACTTAAAAACATTTCAAATAAGTCAATTCAAACAGGCAATTATCCTAGCACCTCTGCTTTAGTGAAATTTATAACACAACACTCATGCATAAAGTTTAAATCTTTTCATTTCATGTATTACAAAACTTTTTGTCATTTTCCACTTTTTCAAGGGTCGATCATAATAGTTTGATCGAGTTTAATTTTTTCTTACTAAGATAAAACATTAATATTTTGAAAATAATTTTCTTGCAACTTTATAATTTATTTCATTTTATTTTGAATGACAAGGTGAACTAAGTTAGATTATCATGCACAAAATACCCCGATTAATAAAACATTCGTTTAATTTAGAATAATTCTATTATTAGACCAACCATTAGAATTAATTGGAGAGAAGAAAATGAAAATAAATGGAAAGTTTTAGTCAAATATGAAATGTGTGAGTGATTGGATGGTTAAATAGGATTCACGGATAAAGCCTCGTAATTGATCGGAGGAAAGTTAGGGCTGGGCCCACATTTCTATACCCGACAAACGCTCCAAGTAATTTATGGCCCACCCGTACTCCCCCTTTACCCACTTTCAGGCCCATCTACTTAGATTGCTAAAACAAGTGGTCCCCACATCTACCCCTTAAATAGTTTGACCATATTTTATACAAATTTCAAGACTAGTAGTAGTACATGATAAGATTTGGAATCCAAATAATTTCTTATTATCATTTTCTTAATTTTTTTTATGTATAAAATATCACTTGAAAATATCATTTTTTGTACAATATATATAACTAGTGAAAAATATAGTTATAGCTGATGATAGATAATATGATACATCAGTTAATTGGTTTTCTTTTCCTTCATATTTTCTCATTTAATTTGCTTCAGTTTAGAGTTTTCAATATTTTAAAATATAATTAATCTATTTTGCTCTTATCTTTGATGTTGATGAGAGTCTATGATAATAATTATGATGTACATATTTGTGTTTGATGATCGTAATTGATAGTAATAATAGAGTATAATGACGACTAAAAGCGATTGCTCAACAACGGAGATATTGATTATATAGAACGAATGTTATTAAAGGTTATTATTCCAATTGAAGTTTCTAAAATCAATTTTGATTTGCTAAATATGTCAAAACAAGATTATGCACATTCATAATAATCATTCAACTTTTTTTGGGAGTGGGGTTGAGGTATTGAGGCAGGTGGGGTTGTCTTCAAAGAGTTTGTCTACTTCTTACTCTCATCATTTTCATTACATTAAGATCCCCAAACTAATAAATTAAAATTAATTAATCCATTTTTAAATTGTTAATCTCCTTTCTCTCTCTATATTTGTCTCCTTCTGCACCCTCCTTTGTCTCCATTCTCACCATCTTTTTCGTATAATTGAAAACCCTCCTAAATTTATCTTTGAATTATTGACAATTTTAAAAATGTTATTTTGTTTAACTAATTAAACTTAAATACATCCTTGATTTTATAACACGAATAAAGTACATTTCTAAATTTTCGTCAAGTTTAAAGATATTTTCAACACTTCTCTCAACTTCTTGTTAAGAGTTGCATGCTCCTACAAGAATTAGATATCATTTGCTATGTCATGTGATAGATCATGGGTGTATTTAAGTTTTATTAATGGATAAAACTAATAATTTACGTCAAATTCAAAAATATTTTCAATGCTTTTTTCTTTTAATATTTTTTGCGTTCACTTTTACTTTTATTTTGTCATATTTAATTTGACATTCTTATTAAAAAAATAATAATCAGATATATAACGATTTTATTTCAATGTTGCTTAATATATGGACAATAAGTAGTAAATATTTATTAAAAAACTTACTTACTGCTCAGTACAAATCAATAAATAGTAGTGTAGGAGTAATTATTAAATAAATATTTTCTCCATTATTCTTTTCTTCTCTCTCTTGTAAGAAAAAAACAAAAAGACACTATGGAAGAAGAGCAAGAACACTCACTTCTTCCTCCTCATCTTCTTCTTCTTCTGCTTCTTCTTCTGCTCTTCTGACCAAAGGCTACGGACGACGTCGTTTTCACATCTCGTTGCCCTATGTATTCTTCAATGTAGCTCGTGATCCACCAAAGCTTCACGTTTCTGGTTCATCTTTTTCAGCTTTTTCTTTTTTCACTTTTTCCCCTTTTCTTGTTTTCAACTTAAATTCAAGTGAATCTGTACAATTTTCTTGACTGTCACCTATTTCTTCCTTCACTAGCTTCAATGCCGGTAAATGGGAACTTGAAATTTGCTCTAATTTATTCTATTTTTAGTGAGTTGCCCATTTTGAATCTGCTTTTAGATTTTTGCTGTTTTTGAGTGTTTGGGGTTTTCTTGTTTTTTTCTCAGTCTCTGATCTTGTTTGTAGTGTTTCATATATTATTTTTAAAAAAAAATTTAGAATGCAGTGGTAACAGTTGAATGTTGATGTGTAACTGCAAGGGTTTTGGTACTTGTGTGTTTTCTTGAATGTCTAACTGTGCACGGGTTTGGTACTTTCTTGGTTTTCTTGAATGTCTAGGGTTTTGGTACTTTCTTGATTTTCTTGAATGTGTAATTGCTAATGTTTTGTATATTGTACTGAATACCAACTGTGATTTGGGCGTCTGATTTGTTTCTTGAGATGGTAGTCTTGATTAGTTGTATTCCTTGTATTTTAGAAAGAAAAATGTACCTCATTCATCAGTCTAAACTCTAATGGGGTTTTGTAGTTTCTGGTTTCTTGAGATGTTTATTCAAATTCTTGGAAGGGAAGACTTGATTGAGTCTTGGGTTCTTGCCTTCTTGGTTTGCAACTTTTCTTCCTCTTTAAATATAAGAAAGTGCAACTTATTTGCATTAGTTTTTATAATTAACTTGGTACCATGGAAAAAACGGCCCTACTTTTCTTATTTCAACAAAAAAGCACTTTATTGCATTTGTTTTGCTTAAATTGGTGCAGTGTAACGGAAAATTGCAGTTGTATCCTGATATTAGAACCTTATTATGAAGATTTTCAGCAATTTGACATGATCTAAGTTCTGGGAATCACACTATAATTCCTCGAGATCTCTTTTCTGAATGCTTTGCATATGGGATAATATGTACCTATATCTGAAGTAATAGCTTTTTGGCAATGTAGGACTAATTATAATTAGTTGAGTCCCTCTTATTTTTTGTTTTGCTTTATTTTTGTCTAAACTAGTAGCCTTGTAGTAGTTTATTAATGTATCTATTTGTTTTTTCCTTTAGCAACGGGATTGGTGCAAGTTGAAGTTTGAACTTTGAAGGGAAAGTCAGTTACGGGTCCAATGGAGCAGTATGAAATATTGGAGCAAATTGGCAAAGGGGCTTTTGGCTCTGCAGTTCTTGTGAAGCATAAGCTTGAAAAGAAGAAGTAAGAACTAGAAAATCTTGTTATTTATATAAGCCACATACATATAGTTACTATTGCACTTCTACTATTTGCAGTGTTATATGAAATGTTCAATCCTGTTAGTAATTGATACTTATCAAATGATATGCTTGTGAAATAGGAATTAATTTATTCTTTTATAATCCTTCTTATTTCAAGGTATGTATTGAAAAAAATTCGCCTCGCTCGGCAAACGGATAGGACTCGCCGAAATGCACACCAGGAGGTTTGTCTTCTGCTTAAACCATGATCTTCCCACCTCCCAGCCTTCCCTATGCTAGGAAACATTGAGAAAACATTGAGTTTTACCATATTCTAGAATTTCTACATATCTGCCTTTAAAGAGGCTCAGAAATTATATTTTTTGTTCTATTTTGGTATTCTAAGCTTTCAGTAACCAGAAAAGGAACACTTTGGAGTGTGAAGGAAAAATAAAATCTTCTATACAAAGGAAACTGCAACTCCTTTTGAACATTCAAAGAAAAGAACATAAATCATTTTGACGCCAAATACTTCTACTGCTACTTGATGTACATCTTCATATGTATTCTATGCCATATTATGCTTCGTAGTTGAACTTTCTTAAAATGCCTTGTCGTTTAATTTAACCTTTATTTTGTAGATGGCCCTTATTTCGAGTATGCAAAATCCATTCATTGTGGAGTACAAAGACTCATGGGTGGAGAAGGTTGCTAACAGTACTTATCTTTCAAGTCCTGTTCTTTTCTTTCCTTTCTATGATACTTCTAATATTTTGATAGAACATTTGACATATGTGTGTTTATCACTACTTGACTGCTGCGGTGTTTATCAAATGGATATATTCAAAGCTTAAATGGGATTTTCTTTTTGCGCCTTCTCTTGCAGGGTTGCTATGTGTGCATAGTCATAGGTTATTGCGAAGGTGGAGACATGTTAGTGACCTTTTCCTACTTTCACTATGTAGTTTGATTCCATTCGTCTCTAATGACCTTGGAAGTAGCCATAATAGCTGCATGTTTGCTTTATTGTAATGACCTCCATTTTCCTTCAACTTTGCAGGGCAGAGGCCATAAAAAAAGCAAAGGGTGTCCATTTTCTTGAAGAGGTAACCTTCTGCTGTTTGCATCTTTTGCTCCAATGTTCAATTCAAGTTTAAAGAGTTATTTTAAAAGTTGAAGTGTCATTTATCTGTCATTGGTCTCTAACCAAGTCATGAACTGTTAATAGAAACTATGCAAATGGCTTGTTCAACTCTTAATGGCTCTTGACTACTTGCACATGAATCATATCCTTCATCGTGATGTCAAGGTTTGCTGTCATTTGCTTTTCACTGGGTGGATTCATAGACTTATTACTTCTTAACCTTGCTTCTCCTTTAAACTTTGTGTTTGTAACATCTTTTGCAGTGTTCGAATATATTTCTAACAAGAGAGCAGGATATTCGTCTAGGTTAGTTTGCTCATTTTCCATTTCAGGCTTCTTGAAAATTCTATATTATAATACTTTACTGAAGGACAAGAACGACATACTACTTGCAGGTGATTTTGGACTTGCCAAGATGTTGACTTCAGATGACCTTGCTTCCTCGGTAAGTAATGTTACTGTAGCTTTTTACCTTAAAGATTTCATGTTTTTCAATATTGTTTAGCTAAGTTATTCTTGCTTAATTTTGCAGATTGTTGGAACCCCCAGTTACATGTGCCCTGAGCTTCTTGCAGACATACCTTATGGATCTAAGTCGGATATATGGTCTCTAGGTAATACAGATATACATCAAGTGGCACACATGTTACATGCTGGCACGTATCAGTGCCTGATGCTATGTTTAGTTGTCATACATAGTGGGCACTAATGTGAAGGTGCACTGACATTTCTATGATTTTCTATCCAGGATGCTGTATATATGAAATGGCTGCATTTAAGCCTGCATTCAAGGCATTTGTAAGTTTCTGATGACCTTGTTGCTGCCTAACCTTATTACTCGAACAATTTTCTTGTCAGCATATGATGCATCCCATTACTTTGTGGGATTACACTGGGTTTGTTATTGCATGATGCAGCCCATGTTTTACAGAAGCAATTATTCATATCATTTATCTGAATATTTCAGTAAGTTCAGCTAGTATAATTTTCTTTTGCAAATGAAACTGTTAAAGAATAACAAAAGTCTCACATTGGTAATTAATGAGATGAGTGGATTCCTTATAAGGCTTGGGGAATCCTCCTCCCTTTGAGCTAGTTTTTGGGGTTTGAGTTAGGCCTAAGATATAATTTAACATGGTATCAGAGCAGGGTCCATTTCACCCAATGTTGGGGGCCGCAAAATCAAAATTGCCCACGCACTAGATACTAAGCACTTTTGGGGTGTGAGTTAAGCCTAAATCCTAATTTAATAGAAACGATAACTGTATTTGTTGCAGCTTGTCGGATGTCCATTTTTTAACCACTAACAATGGTTGTGGAGAATTCCAACGAACTTCAGATGAAATTCGTTGCTGTGCATGTTCTAGGTGTTGGTATTATGACTCCAGAGAGATGTTAGAAGAAGATTCAAGTGTGTAGCACTTGATGGAAATTGGGAGCATGTTTGGATTATAAAAATAGTGATGAGCATGAAGTTTAGTTGGGTCTACTTAGCGATTCTAGAAAAAAAAATTGAACCTAAGATGAATAGCGGGTTTATTTATTGGCAGAGGCGAATCTAGGATTTTTCTAGAACATGGGTGCACCACTAAAAAAAAGAGGAAAAACATGTGTTCTCTGAGGAAGAGGACTCACTGGTATGGAATGTGGGGAGCACATAGTGTTTCACAGTAAATTAAGCACATGAAGATCTCAACACGATTGGCATTGAGGAAGTAGAATGGCCTTGGAAGATGATATGGAAAACCAAGATACCCTATAAAGTAAACTGTTTTACTTGGTTGTTAGCTAAGGAGGCAGTTTTGACACATGAGAACCTGAACAAAAGAGGCTTTCACCTGTGTTCCAGGTGCTTTTTGTGTGAAGAGCAAGGAGAGACAGTCAATCATCTCTTCTTACACTGCAAGTGGACAACCCAGCTTTGGCAAATGTTCACCAATATGAGAGAGATTAAATGGGTGAAACCAGGAAGGATCAAAGAGGTTTTTGAAGTGCTGGAATAGGGATGGAAATGCAGGAAGAAAGGAGGAGAGATGGAAGATTGTCCCATCATGTATATGGTGGATAGTATGGCTAGAGAGGAACCAGAGATGTCATGAAGGAAAGCAGAGCAACATACAAAGATTTAAGCTTAATTGTTTAGCTCTGTATTATTTTTGGTGTAAACCTAGATAGCTCAGAAGTAATCAGCACAACTATAGATTGGCTGTAACTTGGTAGGTATAGGATCCTATGTAATTACAACACTTTTGGAGGGGAACTACACTTTTGAGGTAGTATACCTTTGGAAAAATATAGACTAACTGTTACATTTCTCAAAAAAAGAAGAAGTGGGAATTGATCTCTAATCCTCTAGGTAAATAACTCAACATTCGACCAAGTGCACCATTTAGCCTTCTTGTAGCATGAGTGCCAACAACAACTAATACTATACTAGTTTTAATATATATATATATATA